AGACTCGACTTCGGCCAAGGAGTGTGGAAGGGGGATTCCTACAGGCAGTCGGCTCTGATACCAACTTGTGACGCCCCCGATTCAATCGTACACTAATCATACACGCAAACGTGTACGATCAAGATCAGGGACACACGGGAAGATATCACAACACAACTCTAAAACATAAATAAGTCATACAAGCATCATAATACAAGTCAGGGGCCTCGAGGGCTTGAATACAAGTGCTCGATCATAGACGAGTCAGCGGAAGCAACAATATCTGAGTACAGACATAAGTTAAACAAGTTTGCCTTAAGAAGGCTAGCACAAACTGGTATACAGATCGAAATAGGCGCAGGCCTCCTGCCTGGGATCCTCCTAACTACTCCTGGTCGTCGTCAGCGGGCTGCACGTAGTAGTAGGCACCTCCCGTGTAGTAGTCGTCATCGACGGTGGCGTCTGGCTCCTGGGCTCCATCGTCTGGTCGCAGCAACCGGGTAAAGAAAGGGGGAAAAAGGGGGAACAAGGCAACCGTGAGTACTCATCGAAAGTACTCGCAAGCAAGGAGCTACACTACATATGCATGGATATATGTGTAAAGGGCCATATCAGTGGACTGAACTGCAGAAAGCCAGAATAAGAGGGGGATAGCTAGTCTTATCGAAGACTACGCTTCTGGTCACCTCCGTCTTGCAACAGGTAGAAGAGAGTAGACTGAAATCCTCCAAGTAGCATCATATAGCATAATCCTACCCGGCGATCCCCTCATCGTAACCCTGATAGAGAGCGACCACCGGGTTGTATCTGGCACTTGGAAGGGTGTGTTTTATTAAGTATCCGGTTCTAGTTGTCATAAGGTCAAGGTACAACTCCAAGTCGTCCTGTTACCGAAGATCACGGCTATTCGAATAGATTAACTTCCCTGCAGGGGTGCACCACATAACCCAACACGCTTGATCCCATTTGGCCGGACACACTTTCCTGGGTCATGCCCGGCCGCGGAAGATCAACACGTCGCAGCCCCACCTAGGCATAACAGAGAGGCCAGCACGCCGGTCTAAACCTAAGCGCCCAGGGGTCTGGGCCCATCGCCCTCAGCACACCTGCACGTTGTGAACGCGGCCGAAAGCAGACCTAGCCTAGTGGCGTTCCAGTCCAATTCGGCGCGCGCCACTCAGTCGCCGACGTCACGAAATGCTTCGGCTGATACTACGGCGTCGGGATACCCATAACTACTCCCACGTAGATGGTTAGTGCGTATAGACCAAATGGCCAGACTCAGATCAAATACCAAGAACTCGTTATGCGTGTTAAGTATCCGTGAACGCCGACAGGGCCAGGCCCACCTCTCTCCTAGGCGGTCTCAACCTGCCCTGACGCTCTGCCACAAAGATCCACTCGCGGGTGCTCCACAAGCCGACCCGTCTTTAATCACCACATGTATCATGTATAAGTATATAGTATATACCCGTGATCACCTCCCAAGTGATCACGGCCCGATAGTATAGCACAGCAGACGGACAAGAATGTAGGGCCACAGATGGAAACACTAGCATCCTATACTAAGCAAGTAGGATTGCAGGTAAAGATATCAACAGTAGTAGCAAGGACAGGCTATGCATCAGAATAGGAATAACGGAAAGCAGTAACATGCTATACTACTCTAATGCAAGCAGTATAGAACAGAATAGGCGATATCTGGTGATCAAGGGGGGGGGGGCTTGCCTGGTTGCTCTGGCAAGAGAGAGGGGTCGTCAACTCCGTAGTCGAACTGGGCAGCACCAGCGTCGGTCTCGGTGTCTAGCGAGAGAAGAGGGGGAAGAAACAATAAATAGTTAAGCAAGCAGGCGCATAGAGGTGCATGACATGACAAGTATCGGTGCTAGAGGTGCCCTAACGCGGTATGAGGTGATACCGGTGAAGGGGGGAAGCATCCGGGAAAGTATCCCCGGTGTTTCGCGTTTTCGGGCAAAGGAGCCGGAGGGGGAAAGTTGCGAGTTCGATAGGTTAGAGGGGTGTGGCGGACGAACGCGTTGCGTATCCGGGTTCGCCTCGTCGTTCTGAGCAACTTTCATGTTGAAAATATTTTAATCCGAGTTACGGATTAAAAGATATGATTTTCTAAAGATTTAAATCATTTTTTGATTTTAATTATTTATTTAAATTCAACATTATCCAAAACAGTGTTTGCTGACGTCATCATGACGTCAGCATGACATCAGCGGTCAATGTTGACCGTTGACCTGGTCAACCTGACAGGTGGGACCCGCATGCCATACTTTGATTATTCTGATTAGGGTTTAACTAATCTAATTATTGTCTAATTATTGTTTAATTAATTTAACACTAGTTAATTAGGTTAATCTAATTATGATTAATTAACTTAATTAATTCCTTAATTAATTAATTAATTTAATTATTATTACTTATTTAATTATTTTTATTATTATTATTTTTACTTAATTATTTTTTTAATTCCTTTTTTTAAACGTTCTGGGCGCTGGGGCCACTTGGTCAGTGGCCCAGGGGGCATAACGGGCGCGGTTACGGGCATGCGCCCGTGCGAGGGCACGGGGCAACAGGGGCGTCGGCGGGGAGCAGCGCACGACGCCGGGTCGCAACGGCCGGAGGCGGCGAGTAGCACTCGGCGCGGCGTCGCGCGGGAAGCAGCGGGGCGGCGGAGGCGAGAGGCTCGAGCGGCAGAGAGCATGCGGGGGAGGCGCGGCCCGGGGCGCGTGGCCAAGGCAGAGCCTTGCCGTTGCCGGAGCTAGGCGTGGCGCGATGGGCGCTGTCAGGAGAGGCCGGAGGAGGCCACGGCGACGGGCGCGCACGGAGGAGCTCGTCGGGGCAGTCGGGAGCGGCGACTTGCAACAGAGAGGGGGAGAGGGGCACCGGGAGGCGTGGCCCCGAGCGCGGCGAGGGCGGGTGGTGCGGCGACGGAGCCGCGGCGGAGGGGCGCCGGACGTGAGGGCCGCCACGGGCGCGGCTGGCGCAGTTGACCGGCGCGAGCAAGGACGGCAAGACGCCGGCGAGCTAGGGAGAGGCCACGGCCGTGTGCGAGCGCGGCGGGCGTAGGGGAACGGAGGCCGAGGGCCTCACCGGGCTTTGTAGGGACTAGGGCAGCGGGCGCGGTGGAGGGGGGCGAGGACGGCGTCGACGAGGAGGAGGCAGCCCGGTGGGGAGGGCTCCGATCGCCGGTGGTGTTTGGCGACGACGGGCGACGGCGTCAGGCCGGCGATGATTCGAGGGCGAGGCTTCAGGCAGGTACAGCGCGAAGGAGAGGAGGGGACGGAGGAGTCTGAGAGGGGCGGCGCCGGCGATAGCGAGCGGCGACGGGGTCGCAGCCCCCGATCCAGATCGGGGGGGGAAGGAGAGGAGTGGG